GCCCCTTGGTACCAATTGAGAATCGTTGCTGACCATGTCCATCCCTTTATGACCACAATGTACCCAACTTCTGATGGCTACTTTCAGCAGGATAATGCGCCATGTCATAAAGCTGGAATCATCTCAGACTGGTTTCTTGAACATGACAATGAGTTCACTGTACTCAAATGGCCTCCACAGTCACTTAAGAAAGATCCAGGTTTTGAAACTGTTTGAGAAAGGACAGTTTCAAAACCTCAATCCAATAGAGCATCTTTGGGATGTGGTGGAACGGGAGATCCGCATCATGGATGTGCAGCCGACAAATCTGCAGCAACTGTGTGATGCCATCATGTCAATATGGACCAGATTTCCTGAGGAAAGCTTCCAGCACCTTGTTGAATCTATGCCACAAAGAATTGAGGCAGTTCTGAAGGCAAAAGGGGGTCCAACCCGTTACTAGCATGGGGTACCTAATAAAGTGGCCAGTGAGTGTGTGTGTATATATATATATATGTATATAAATATAAAAACTGTAACTGGAGCAGAACATACAGAAAACACAAAAAAGTGTCAAACCAATTGAAAAAAAAGTAGTCAGCCTTCAATCTTGTGAAATGTCTATTCAAAGATGTTGGTCTTCTCATGGCCGTTTAAATAGAAAATCTCCAGGGCATTGAAAATGTTACCTTTTCAAAATGCCCAATTTTCTACAACCATGGAAACCATGTATTAATGTCTCCTTTTGGTACTTCTATCTACAACGGACCTATTGGATTTAACATATGAATGCTAATGGCTAACAGTCCTCAACTCTTACTGCTAGTGTCCAATTTAACTTTTTGCTTTGGTTTTATTTTAAAAAGCTGCACACAATTCTTTTTCCTCACATTTTAATTTCCATTTAATTCAAGTTACATATATACTGTTAATTAATAAATGCCACTTTAATATACAACCCATCAACTTCGGCACCACGAGAAAAATCTCTTCCACCCACAACTTTTAAAATAAAGCTTAAAAAAAAAGTTAGTGTGCATTCACAGAGCAACAAAATAAAAGGAAGGCAAGGCCAAGAAGTGCAATGTATACCAGGTATAGGCAACTACCAAGCAAAGACACAAGAAATCACAGATTGTACTGTTAAGTAAAAAACAGAAAAAAATGCTCATCTTAGTCATACCTCTTAACATTGTCATGAAGTCTGGTTCAAATTCAAGGTTTCATGAAGCCTATGAGGTCCATCATTGAGTGGAAGTTACAGTTGATGCAGAGCTGACTCTGTACAAAACGCTACAAGGATTCATCTTGGCAAATTTGTTAAACTTTACAATCTTACAGTTGGGTCTCCTTTGCCATCAAGCATCGGAGGAGGAGGATTCTACAGATTTAAAAAATAATAATCCTGTGTCAAGCTTTATGCTGTCAACCCGAAGCAGTGACAATGATACTGTGAATAATCTGAGAGACCCCCTCCAGATCAGACATCTCTGCATCATTCCCAGCTGGTTTCAGTGAGCTTGTAAAATTAGAGCACTAAGGTAGTCGACAGGCGTCGCCTCACACAACAAGCCACGTCGTCCACCAGCTATTTGTCCTCCCATGCAGCTAACAGTCACACATTGTGAGGAGGGAACAGTTTGAGTCTGACAGATTAGTCCCCAGTATGGCTGCGGAGGTGTGGCCTTGCGCTGGTGTCGGGTTGTCACATTTGATGGAAGATTTCTGGGACGTCTGGGGGTGACTATGTGTAGAAGATGACCTCTGGGATCTGTCCGTCTTCTACAGAAGTGCCGTTGTTGTTGCCCGCAGCGTAGCAGAAGGTGAAGCAGGTCTTTGTGCCGGTAGAGGATGACTCATGCGTTACCTTTCGCATTCCCTTGGTCCCATAATGAGAGTCAGGACCCTGTCAGACACACAGAAAACAAGGTAAGTACACATTTTTCAAAGTGTGGGTTCTTTCCTGTATTAATCGTTGATCTCTTCCTGCTGACCTTCAGTGTGGCGCAGGCAGTGTAGTTGACACTGGGTAGAACCTCCACCGGCTCCTTGAACATGACCCTGAAGGTGTTTGCTGACCCATCACAGCTGAAGCCTGTGTCGTTCTGTCCCAGCACAGTGTTGCTGTCTGTGTGGATTATCTGGAACAGACACAAATATCAAAGATGGCATTAAACCACAAATTTAGAGCACCTCAATTCATTTCCATCTAATTAGAGCCAATTTATGAGATTAACAAACATGATGGGAAATAAGTGGAGAATAATCAATATACAGCTTCAATTGAAATTGTAAAAAAGGATGAATTTGTATTCAGTCTTCCAGCAGATATAAATACTAATCATTTGTCTCACAGCTTTGTAAAGACTGATATTGTCAATTTGTTTCTAAAAAAAAAAAATATACTGGAAAATAGTGCTGGGCGATATGGAAAAAAATCATATATCACGATATGGACTATTTTATATCACAATAATGATATATATATCAAAATATGCCCCAATTAAGTACATTTTCAGCAAATCTCTGAAAAATATGACAAAACAATACAATTGCTTACTTTTTCAACTTTATTCTGAAGTGACATTTATAGAACTGTCATAATTTAGAAAAATAAATTGTAGTGCAGCAATATATATGCATAAGATGAGGCGGAGGTAGGGCTACAGTATCCTTCACTTTTTTTCAAAATCCTACAGGTATTTAAATTAAATTACTGTGGTTCTTCTTCAGGTTATAGAAGAGGTTTGTCGTGTTGCCGTCGGGTGCAAATGAACGTTGTCTACTCCGTGTTGCACTTCTTAAATCCAAAATATAACCAAATCACAGACGTGCGCCCTCTTTTTGGTAAAATGTCTTCATCTTGGGGTGCCTGCGTAGCTGTCTCTTGTTTGTTGCGACCACGGGTTTAATACTTCAGCCTCCTGCGTCTCCATCTCTCATGAGTTAACTAACGTAAAGCATGTCGCAAACCCGCGTGAGTCAAAAGCCGTAAAGTAGCGTCATGCTGCAAAACCACAGGACGGCGCTTCTTTGTGGATTAAAAAATAAATAAATCTTGTTGATCACTTATAAGCTGTGTGTAGGCTACGTGGCTACACTAATATGTTCGTCGTAGTCTACCATGGGAAATATCTGCTTGAATACGAGATACAATTGTGTTAGAAATGATAGAATAGAATTAGCACGACAGACACTTTTCTACCTTCGGTACAATATGTATCTTCCTATCGCCCAGCCCTACTGGAAAATCTACTTATATACATATACTTTCAAATATACATTAACTTTGATCACAACAGATTATTCATGAAAATTCTCTTACAAATTTCGTATTGCCTTCACAGAGCAGCTTTTTTATGCAGCACTAGGGGCCTTTATTTTACAATAAAACAATTTAAATGGACAGATACTTCTGCAAAAGGCTGCTTCCAATTTATTTGTTAAAAACAAAAAAAACCTTTAAATTTGGGGTAATAATCTTTGGGCCAAAGGAAGAGAGATCCAGAGTTAGCACAAAGCTTCAGCTACTACAGCTAGAAACCACTGATTATGGCGGAAATCTTGGTGTCATGATGGACTCAGACCTGAACCTTCAGAGTCAAATAAAAGCAGTTACCAGGTCAGCTTATTATCACCTGAAGAATATTTCAGGATTTAAGGATTAATGTCCAAGCAGGATCTAGAAAAACTCATTAATGAATGTGTCTTTAGTATCTTTGATTACTGCAACAGTCTCTTCATAGGGTTGCCTAAAAAGTCCACATCAGACAGCTGCAGCTGATCCAAAACACTGCTGCCTGTGTTCTTATTAGAACTAAGAAAGTAGAACACATCAGCCCAGTTCTGAAGTCCTTCAAATGGCTCCCTGTAGCTCAGCGAATAGACTTTAAAATCCTTCTGTAAGTCTATAAATCCCTGAATGGATCAGCACCTCAATACATAACAGATTGGTTGTCAGTGTATCAACCTCCCAGACCAGTTCCAGCCTACTCTGTTCACCCAGAACTAGAACCAAACATGGAAAAGCAGCATTTGGTTCCTAAGCTTCATTTATCTGGAACAAAAAACTACAAAAGACTACAAAAGTGCTGAAAGCCTGAGTTCTTTTGAGTCAAAGTTAAAAGACCAATTATTTGGAGCTGCCTTTGACTTTTGAAGTTAAACTGGTAACTGAGGTATAATTCGTTTAAGGTTGTGATCTAACTTTTTTATTTTCTACTCTAGCTGCTTTAATCATGTTTTATCTTTACTTGCTTTTCTTTTTCTTCTGTTTTATTGTTTAATTCATGTAAATCACTTTCAATCATCTTTGCGCTGAATTGTGCTATACAAATAAACTTGCCTTGACTAAAATGTGTATACATTTATTTCTACTTTATTGTACACCATTCTGTCTGATATTTCACATTACATTTTTTAATAAAATATATTTTTTGCCTTTAGTTGTAATATCACGAAGAAAAAGTTACGATGTATGACTACTTGCAAGCCACTGTACAAACTATTCCCTAGTTTTCCTTTAAATTCTTAATCAGTATCATTTTCCCCCACCTCACAAATATGCAACACCATGTTATGGTTTATCACTAAGGAATTAATAAAATAAATTGAAGTCAGCAGCTTTAATGTGGAAAAATGAACAAAAGGAGGCATGAATACTTTTGTAGGACTCCATAAAGACTGAAAGTAATCAGTCAGTACCTGTATATTGACTTGGTAGTCTGTAGGTCCGTGAATAGATCCATAAAGTCCAAATCCAACCACAAAAATCCTTCTGTTAACAGAGAACCTGTGAAACAAAAAAGATGCAGACGTAAATACAACACAGTATGCAGGTATAACTGCTTAGAGTGTCTGTATCACACAAACTTTTTATTCAAATCATTTAATGACCATTCTAGATCCTTTACCACAGGCAGGCTACTGCAACCAGATTATGTTTCATATCCCACATAAGATTCAGAGCCATAAATCTGTGTCCAAGCTTTGCATCCCTGATAAACACACCGTATACGGTCGCTCGTCCCGCTGTAGCCCCAGCGGCTCTCCACCTGGCCAAATCTGGTGATGCTGCACTCCTTCCCGCGGAGGCAGCAGCGAGGACGGTCGATGAAATCCACACGTGGCTTTGGGTTTACTGTAAAGTGGAGGAAAAGACTCACCACCTCTCTGTCTGTTAGAATGTTAGACTGGGCAGGACCTGCAGGATAAGGAGAGGAGGCGTAAATGGAGATTGAAGTCGGAGCGGTTAATCAAAACAGGAGAAGTGATGAGAGCTTTATTTAACCTGCTGCAAACTCCTCGATGGTCATGAGAGGGAAGCGGATGAGCGTGAGAGCTTTTCCCAGGGCTTTACGCATGTTTTCTGGAGTGGGTTGAAGCTGCTGCCTGCGAGCCTCGGCCTCAGCCCAGCGAACGGCGGCTCCAAACAAACGCACCTCCCTTACTCCTAAAGTGTCCCTCTCCAACACTGCCACCAAAGTATCTGGAGGAGGTAAACCACAAGTTTTAAACCGAACCGTAGGGGTGATACAACCTTAAGCCATCACAACAAAACTTTAAAATGAGTCTTTACCCAGATCTATGTCTGTGAAACCTTCAGCAGCAAGAGCGTCTCCAGTGTTCTTGTCAATGTTCTCCAAACAAAGGCTGGCAAGCTGTGGCTCATCAAACAAACGAGCCTGAAACGAAGAGAACATGGCTCATTACAAACTTTAGAACATGATCTGTTTTTATGCAAACACAAAGGGAGTCAACGCTCCTGTGAGATGGAGTTTCCATTCTCTCCTCCCAAGCGATGAAAAATGAGCATAAAAATGTCTTTCAACAACTATAGAACATACTTAATGGTCTGAGTTATGAGTATATTTTACTTTTGAAATGCTCCCAAAACTTCAATGAGACCTATAGGTTTAATCTTTTTACATTTTCACAATGGCTTATTTTATTAAATGCATTTTATACATCTCTGTGCCTAAACTTTGTATTAAAGGGCAGACTTATCAAGACTCAAACTTCCTGATTTCACTGTTGAAAAGGATGGGAATCGAAAACCGCTTCCTATTCAGAACCAGTTCCATGTGTTCCAATTTCATACCACTGTTTGGCAGCTCGCTTAGCGGTTCCAGGCAGCACCAGAGCCTAGCGCTGGGCAGCACGACTTTGGTCACTTTTTTTTTTCAAAAATTACGCACAAGGCATTCAGTAAGCAAGTATCACGTGACCAGGTGTGAGACTGGAAAAGCAAAACAAAAAATGGCGTTTAATCGGGTAAAGCGATCGAAGGTTTGGCTTAATTTTCAGGAAGAGAAAGATGGCAACAAGCGCCTTGCGATCATTGCAAAGTGGCAATTACATCCGAGCGAGGAAATACATACAACATGCAGAAACACCTGTGCACACAACATGGCATACATTTTAACGAATGCCGCGTTTTTGATGCTTCTGGACAGAAGCTAAAGTTACGACCAGCATGGAAGGCAACTCTGGTGGTGAGTAGCTAGTTTTATATCACTGGTTGTGCTTAATTTAGTTCCCAGTAAATCATGACATTTCTGGAAATAAACCAGTTTCGTACCTCTCTTTGGGGTTATTAAGTTTCTTCGCAGTTCAGGGAGTGAGAGAAAGGTGACGCTTGTTTATTTAAATCAGGGGGAGATGAGTTTATTTCCTGAAATTGTACAGTAATGCTTTTTCATGAAACGGATGACTTCTCCATTAGATTTAGATGACTGTGACGAGACGGGTAGCCTGGCTGGCTGAGAGGCTGGCAGCTCCTGTTCACTGCCTTCTGTTTTTGCCGAGACAGGCAGAAATGGAATGTCCCAGGCGAAGGACGAATGTCAGCGTGCACTTACCAAGTTCATCGTTTCACAGAATTGATAGGAGAATTAAATCGTTTCACACAATCGATAAGAATTGATAAGGAATCGCATTGTTTAACAGAATCAATAAGGGAACCAATAACAGAATCAATAACAGAACCAACCCTACTGTCGATATTAGCAAATGTCTTAGTAGATCATAAAGTTCACAATGTAACCGAGATTTATGATAAACAGATGAAGAAGTGAAGTGATTCAAAAAACAGTTATTAAAAAAAATATCCTCAAGTGCTTTGAGTGCTGATTATTAAGGCCAGGAGGCAGACCTGAGTAAGCAGCATGAAAGCATTGTCTGCTCTGAGGTTTTTCTTCAGGAACTCCACACAGTGAGCCTCCAGGGCTGGAACTGCGTACTTCTTGGCTGTATATAGGGTGGTCATCACAGTTTCAGGGCCGATCTGGACTTCATCTGAATACAGGAACCTGAAACAAACATCACCAGATTTAATCCTCTCCTCTTTTATGAATGACGTGGATGGGGATGCTGTTAACTGCACATGCAAACTTTCTATATACAATTGAGCTACAATTCAAAGTCCTTACTTTAGCAGAGCCAGAAAAGCAGCTGGTTCCACGTCCGGAAGTTCGATTTCCGTAGAGGTGGTCGCCATGCCGCCGTTAAACATAGCATCAAACACTGCGCTGCCCACAGCCAGGACAAACCTGACACACCAATGCGACAACAGGAGGAGGGGTCAGCTCGTTCAGCACAACCTGGAAGTTTCAGCTCAAACAAATCCTCTTACCTGTGAGCTGGTATTCTCTGAACGCCCATTCCTTTGCCAACCAAGAAATGAACGTCACTGAGCACCTCGTTGTTGAAGAGAAACGCAAACCTCTCCTTGACGGTGCTCTTTGTCGCCTGCCAGTTGTATACCGGTTCTCTGTACACAAGCACGGACGCTGCAGCCGGAGTGGCGCTCGGCGCAGCGGCCGGGGAGGCGTTCGACGCTGCGCCGCTTGTCATGTTGGACGCCGGGGAGGCCATGGCTCCGGCTGCGACAGAAGCAACACCTGACGCAGCGGACGGCTGCAGGGGGTTCTGCGCAGACGGCGGAGCTCCGCTCGATACGCCGCCGCCGTCTGCTCCGGCAGGCCCCAACTGCGGGTTGGGTCGCCTCGTCGTTCCCTGCGCTCCCCCGGCAGCACCGACCGCTCCGCCGTTGGATGCTGGCATTGAGAAAACGCTGTTGCTGGGCTGGCTGTTCCCTAAAGGACCCGGGCCGGAGTAACTAAGGCAAGGAGGCCTGCCGCTGTTGTCTCCAGCGGCCATCTTCAACCTGCTGTAGGCGTAAACAACAAACTTCATCGCTTTCCGTAATTTCGGTGGCCCACACGCTCACGTGGGCCTTTTATTCCCCCTGGCGTTTATCATCGGTACTGCAAGACCTCTATCTCCTTTTATTTTACAACTCTTATTGCGAAAGTTTTTAGTAATCACTTTTAAACTTTATTTAATCATACAAGATTTTATTTCTGGTGTTTTTTTTCTCTTTTTATAGTTTTTAAACATAAGTTAATGTATCATGGGGAGACCAATCTACTGCCCGATGATAATCAGCTGTTTAGTAACCGGTTACTCTTCACGCTTCGGCGTCAGTTTATTAGGAAGACTCCAAAATATTTTAATGTAACATAAATAAAGTAGCACTGACTAAAAACGCCACACAAAAAAAAGGGAAAAAAGAGAAAAAAACTCAGATGTTTGATATCTATAAATAAACATATCAATGACTGGGCACGTTGATGACTCATAAAATGAACATCAACTCTTGAAGGAACTACGACAAAATTTCAAGGTGTTACAACTTTGACAACAGTGGATGTTCTCGAGAAATGTGGGATGCAGTTACACATTTTGGTCACTAGGTGGTGTGGTACATAAATAGCAATCGATATCAGAACATACTTTATAGTCTACGTTTGGTGCAAAAGGAATTNCTTATTGTGAACGTTTTTAGGAATCACTTTTAAACTTTTTAAAAATTATACAAGATTTTATTTCTGGTGGTCTTTTTCCTCTTATTATAATTTATAATAGTAAGTTAATGTGTCACGTGGAGACCAATCTACTGTCCGATGATAATCAGCTGTTTAGTAACCGGTTACTCTTTTTTTATTTACATAATGAATCTCCTTTTGCGCTCTGTCCCGACAACCGCGGCTTTCTGGGCATTATGCATGATCAGCTATTCACGCTTCGGCGTCAGTTTATTAGGAAGACTCCAAAATATTTTAATGTAACATAAATAAAGTAGCACTGACTAAAAACGCCACACACAAAAAAGGGAAAAAATAGAAACAAAGCTCAGATGTTTGATATCTATAAATAAACATATCAATGACTGGGCACGTTGATGACTCGTAAAAGGAACATCTACTTCTGAAGGATCTACGAGAAAATTTCAAGATGTTACAACTTTGACAACAGTGGACGTTCTCGAGAAATGTGGGAAGCAGTTACACATTTTGGTCACTAGGTGGTGTGGTACATAAATAACAATCGATATCAGAACATAGTTTATAGGCTACGTTTGGTGCAAAAGGAATTTTACCTCAGTTTCCATCTCTCACAAACACAAATACACACACAGCCATACTCGTTCTGCCATGGTAGTGAGGACCATGTGTTGAGTCCCATTGACTTCCATTGATTTTAAGTCATTTTCAACCCTTTCTATGCCCTAACCCTAAAAGTAACCCTAAACCTAACCATCACCAATGCATACCTCACTAACCCTAACCAATTGACACCTTAGTCCTCACATGCAAAATAGCATGTGAGGACCGTCAAAATGTCCACACTTTGATAGTGAAATTGGAAAAATGGGTCTCACTCTGAGGGCTAGAGAGGTACACACACACACACACACACACATATATATATATATAATTGAGAGAGATTACATACAAACGTTTGAGGAAAAAGGTAGGGTAGACAGCATTATATAGCCGTATTATAGGATGGTGAGTCATGGTTTTGGGATGCTCTGGTGCAGCAGGACCTGGTCACCTTAATAGAATCCACCATAAATGCTTTTGAAGGTGTTTGAGTAACACGACAAAGACTACAAATATTTCAGTATAGTTGCGCAACAAGGAAGTGTATTTGCCATTATATACAGCAGTTATTTTATTAATTATAATTAACCGTTTTTTCCTGCCTTTTGTATTCCATCATCACAATTTCCTTATCACTCCTTTTGAACTTCTGTAACTTAACAGATGTCATGTAAATCCCTTTATTCTTCCACAATGGAGAAATTCACTCTCTACTCCCCATCCCCTTGGGGAGCAGTGGACTGCCATTGTGTGGCATCAAGCAAAAATATTATACCAAATATTTTATTGGAGCACTTTATGATTGAGATAGAGCAAAAATTGATGCTGCAGTAATTGCAGTTTAAAATAATGCATACATTTACATATAGTAAATTCACCTCGGGCTTGCTAGGGATTAAGAAATGGAAAATCCTTGCAGAAACAAGCTGGATGACGTCATAATTTTTCATAAATCATTAATGACCACTTGATTGCAATCATAGTGAAAATATAGAACTTAATTTTTGTTTTCTAAAATCTAATAATGATTATTTAAATTTACAGCAGATTATAGCAAAGATCACAAATGCAGAGATTTGAGAAACTTGAGCAAACCACTTATTTGATTCCAACACCCAGTTAAATAAAGTAGGATTGTGTTTAATTAAAACCCAAATATGTCGTTGAGACTGGTGTTTGTTATTTATAGAACCTTGAAGTTTCCAGAGCTCTCCTTTCCATTACCAACCTGAACTGTAGGCACTGCTCTTCATCCAACAATTGTTGCTTTGTAAAGGGAGAAACTTTTAGGACATCCCCTAGTTTCTATATGCAGACATAGTTTGAATTTTGTAGGATTATCACCTGGTTAATGCCGACTCTTGGGTCTATTGTCTGCAATTAATATGTTTTGTTTTAGTGGCACACCTTTGTTTGCAGACTTTATTTAAGTGACTAGAAAGTGAGATTTGAAAAAGGTAAAATATGTAAAATAGATATGTAAAGGGACAAAACCCAGCTTAAACTAAAGGGAGATTTGGACAAACACATATGATCCCGATTGGGAGCATGACAAAACATACTGCTGGATAACTATATTTATATGGAGTGCAAAATGATACCACATTATTTTAAGGGAGCTGAAAAACTGATGAGGCAGGTTAGTTCTGTATGGTTGAATGTCACTGCAGCTACTCAGAATGGTTTCCAGTAGTTTATACTTTTATGAATGTTTCAGAGCATCATGGCTTGTTTCTTACGAGATGTTCTCTAAAATACTGACCAAATCACAGATGAACCTGGGGCTATTAGAAAGACCTAAAATGATGTACCAGAGATGTTCTATTGGATGTAGGTCATGGTAGTACGGAGCCCTGTCGCTGACGACAATTCATTCATTCTTTAACAAACTGCTTGCACATTGTTGACCCATTAGGCCAGGCATCTTCATGGACGCAGGACAACAATAGGTCTAAGGATTTCATCCCGATAATCAATGGCAGTCAGGATGTTCTTGTTAAACCTGTGCAGGTCTCTGTGTCCTGGATTAACCTCCCTACACTCCCTATCACTGAGCTGTCACCAAATGGATCATACCTTACAATGTTGAAACCCTGAACCCCAAACCCTAAACTGGAGGATATTGAGTTCTGAGACCCCTCAAGAAGTCTGTCTCTGATGGTTTGGTTAGAGATGTTCATTCCTATGGCTCACTAGAGATCTTTTTGTAAGGCTCTGGTAGAACTCACCCTGTTCCTTCTTGCACAAAGGAGCAGATACTGAATGCATGTGTTTCCTCCACCTTTAGTTTGCTGTTACACCTGCTGCCAAATTCTGGCTAGTCTGAATTAATCCAAGGTTTGTATTGAGGGTGCTCT